TAAACCAGGGAAGAGAAACATTCCATCGCTAAGCCATCACTGCCCTCTTTTAGCAGTTAATGGCCAACAATTTTAAAAAGATGTCCTGTTAAGGAGTCCTGTGGGGGAAGAATATTCTTAAGAGTTAGAAAGAGTGACAACTTTTTACTTGGACTCATTTATGGAGCGTTAATAGAGGATGCGAGGTGAAACAGGGTCACCTTTGTGGCTAACAGGGTTAGAAAAATCAGATGTGACTGGAAGGTCACACACGCAGAGGGCAGGTGTGGGCTCCCCTCTGCCCCAATACCAAATAGATATTATCGGGAATTTTTTTTTTAATTTTTGACAAGTAATGCAAGTGGCTATGTCTGTGCCCATTGCCACCAACCAAGCCTCTATTGTTACAACTCCGGAAACTTTCCATATTTTAATTTATTAACCCTGAAATACTAAGTGAAAGACACATAGGAGTAACTTGATTGACTCTGGGCATCTGCATGAATTGTGTGAGGCAGCCCAGAGGTGTGGCTCCTCCAGAAGGCTGGGGGGCCTGTGGCAAGCAAGAATTCTGGCTGAGCTGCTGGGTGGCAAACAGTGACTGGGAAATCGGGGTGAAAACAAGCTCCTTGGAGGGCCTTTTTGCTGACTGACAGGCCTGACACCGGGCTGACCATGCTCTTGGCTCGTGGCGGCACGTATAACAGCAGTGCCTTTAGTGGAACAAAAACTTTGCTTTCCTTCCAAAGCAGCAGAGTCACTTCTTAGCGGTTGGTGGCAAGTTTCATCATGGAAACATCCTGAGTACAAGTTATTTCCTCCTATTGGGCTGAGAAGGAAGCCAGGGACAGGGAAGTTATCCTAACAAACAGCTCTGTCAGTTCCTGCCTCTACGTCACAATGCCTCCTCTCTGAGGGCTTTGGCAGTAGGGGCAACCTGCAAATGAACTTGGAGTTGCATCTTTGGGATGGGATAAAGGCAGTTCCAGTCTTCTTGCAATAAAAAAGCCTTTGTTTTCTGTTTTAAAATATGGGAGGGACCCATACTTGCGGTAAAGAGTAAAGAATGCTTGCCCCTTTGCTATACAAAAGCATCACAGATGGCTTGTAAATGATAAATTAAAAAGCCAAATTCAGCTCATTTAGACCACACATTTGCCACTCTTCCCTGCTGTCTGATGGAGGAGGTGTTACCAATATGAGGAGGAACAGATTTGCAAGAGCCAGCTCTAGAAAGAGCAGGGTCATTCTTCTGAGGACAGTTGTCTCCACACTGCAGGGCTAGATACTGCCCTAGCTTGGAGTACTGGTAGGCTGGGCCTAAGAAGATGGGGGTTCTTTTTTTCCCTGGCAGTTTTATTGGCATATAATTCATATATCATGCAATTCATAGTTCAGTAACATCAAGAAGAGTTGTACAACCATCATTTCAGAACATTTTCTGCATTTTTGTACTCGTTGTTATTAGCTCCCTTCCCACCCCACCCCCGCCCAAACTTACTTTGCCATACTCCTAAGGAACCATTAATCCAGTTACTAAGTATCCTCTAGATTTACCTACCCTGGATTCATGTACAGAAAACATTTAAAAACAAAAACAAGAACAACAAAGGAAAACAGAGGAAAAACCTATCGAAAAGAAAGCAAAAAAGATTGAAAATTAGAACAAATTTAAATGGATCATAAGGGAGATCAAATGATAGGGAGCTAATTTTTTAAAAATCATTTTACTGGGGGCTCATACAACTCATCACAATCCATGCATGCATCCATTGTGTCAAGCACATTTGTACATATGTTGCCATCAACATTTCCAAAATGTTTTCTTTCTACTTGAGCCCTTGGTATCAGCTCCTCATTTTCCCCCTTCCTCCTCGTCCCCTCCTCCCTCATAAACCCTTGATAATTTATAAATTATTATTATTTTGTCATGTCTTACACTGTCTGACATCTCCTTTCACCTACTTTGTTGTTTGTCCCCCAGGGAGGGGGTTATATGTAGATCCTTGTGATCAGTTTCCCCTTTCTACCCCACCTTCCCTCCATCCTCCGGGTATTGCCACTCTCACCACTGGTCCTGAAGGGGTCATCTGTCCTGGA